CAAGTGGGTAGGGTGTGGGGGTGGTGGCAGCCCTGAGCAGTGTGGGTAGAGCTTGAGTGGGGAGAATGTTGTCCAAAGTGACCAACAGTAGATTTATGTGATTTTAAAGGGCCTATCAATCAATGAAAATATTAATGGCAAAATTTTGGGGCAGGTGTTGGTCGTAGGGGTTAAGTTGCTGCATGAGATGCCTGCATCCCATATCAGGGTTCCTGGTTTGAGTCCAGGTGTTGTGGGTGAGGTGGAATCTCAACTCCTATTCCAGGTCCTTGCCTTCTACCTAGAGAAGCATTCTAAGTACAGGCACATGTACGGTGCACAAAGTGATAAAGTTTATTTAAAAGGTGAGAACACACACACACACACACGTGGGGATAGTTCAGGATTAGAGTGGGCTAGCAGGGGATAAGGATGGGGGAGGGAAGCAGAGAGCCCCTGCCAGTTGCCACCTTCTGAGGTTGGGAGGGGAGAGGTTACATGGCACCTCCCGCAGGTCCCAGGTGATGGGAGATACAGCCTGGGAAAGGGGTTATTTGACTGACAGGTAGGCTGATAGGATTGCATGTGGCAGAGGAGGTGAGGCTTCCAGCCTTGGCCCTGTGTAGCTTATCTGGTGTACAGGCCCCTCCACTCTCCGTTAAGCTTCCTGATAATGCACACCCTTGGCAGGCAGCAGTTGATGGCTCAAGTCCACCCGTGGGAGGGACCCAGATTATGTTCTGGGCTCCTGGCTTTAGCCTGGCCCAGTCCTGGCTCTTGTGGGCATTCGGGAAGTAAACCAGCAGATGGAAGATTCTCTCTGCCTCCCCTCTCTGCCTTTCAAATAAAACAAAAATAATGAAAAAATTAAAATAACAAATGATTAATGGTATTGGAGAAGCAGACGTTACCCACTGCTGGACAGGAGGCACAGACGAGGGGGAGGCGTCCTCTGGTGTTCCTGCAGGAAATGTCTCCTCAGTCTGATCAGAGGTCACATCAGCTACACTCCAAGGGAGGTCACATTCAAGCAGAACCAGCCTGTTGTCTTCCAAAGTGTCCAAGACAAGGAGAGACCAAGGAACCCTTCCAACCGGAGGAGAGGAACCAACCAAGTGCCGTGCTTGGTTCTACCAACGCCTGCTCTTGCTCTACAGAGACTTATGGGGACAGCTGGCTTGAAGGCAGTCTGGGGACCAGTGAGTAATATACCAGTGGTAACGCCCATTTGGCTGATTGTGCTACCTGGGAGAAGGTTCTGGTAAAAAGTCCTTTGGACAGGGGCCGGCGCCGTGGCTCACTTGGTTAATCCTCCGCCTGCAGTGCCAGCATCCCATATGGGCTCTGGGTTCTAGTCTTGGTTGCTCCTCTTCCAGTCCAGCTCTCTGCTGTGGCCCGGGAAGGCATTAAAGGATGGCCCAGGTGCTTAGGCCCTGCACCTGCATGGGAGACCAGGAGGAAGCACCTGACTCCTGGCTTCAGATCGGCACAGCGCTGGCCGTAGCGGCCATTTGGGGAGTGAACCAATGGAAGGAAGACCTTTCTCTCTGTCTCTCTCTCACTGTCTATAACTCTACCTGTCAAATTAAAAAAAAAAAAAAAGTCCTGTGGACAGAAGGAAGACTTTAACGGGTGGAAATGTTTCAACACAAAGACAACTGAAACTCTGGAAATGGGCGACATTATCAGAAACACCTGTGTGGCCTCTGTCCCTGGCTCCTGGCACAGAGCACCTGAACCCATGTGGTTTCCTAAGTGATGGGCTGATGAGCGTATCTCACATTGGGCTTCTAAATCCTGTGGAATTCACTCCTCTCCTGGTGACAGGAGTGCCTTTTGTTCGAGGTGACTTCTACTGGGCCCAGGAAAGGCTTAGGAAGGGGCTACTCACCAGGAAGACCAAGCCCTGGTTATACATACATATTTTTTAAGATTTAAAAAATTTATTTGAAAGGCAGAGGTAGAGAGAGAGAGAGGTCTTCCATCCCACTGGTTCACTTCCAAATGACCACAACAACCAGGGCTGGGCTAGGCTAGAGCCAGGAGCTTCTTCTGGGTCTCCAACGTGGGTGCAGAGGCCCAAGCACTTTGGCCATCCTCCACTGCTTTCCCAGGTGCATTAGCAGGAAGCTGGAGCAGCAGTGGAGCAGCCGGTTTGCGACCGTATGGGATGCCAGTGCTGCAGACCGGGGCTTTAACCCGCTGCGCCACAGCACCAGCCCCCAAGCCCTGGTTACAAGCTTAGAACCTTCAGCCTCACTGCACATCCTAGAGGAAGAGAAAGGGCTGGAGACAGAGTTAATAGTCATCATGCCTGCATGGCGGAAGCTCCATAAAATCCCTAAACTACAGGGTTCGGAGAGCCTCCAGGTTGGTGAGCACACCCGGGGCCAAGAGGAAGGCCCAACCCCAATGCCATGGGGGCGGAAGTGCTTGTGCTCGGGACCCTCCAGGCCTCTCCTGTGCACCTCCTCACCTGTACCCTCTATAATCTCCTCTCTAATAAACCAAGAATTGCAAGCCAACACTTTTCCTGAGTTCTGTGAGCCGTTTTGCAAATTATAGAGCCTGAGGAGGGGGTAGCAGGAGCTCCCTACATACAGCCGGGCGGCGGTGGCACCTGGAGTGGGGGGGCACTCCTATGGGACTGAGCCCTCAGCCTGTGGGGTGTGACGCTAACTCCAGGCAGGTTGCGTGGGCTCAGGTGAGTCAGTGAGCGGGCAGTGCATTGGAGAACAGGTTGTTGGTATGGGGGGAAAACCACACATTTGGTGTCAGAAGAGTTGTAAGTAAAGGAAGTTCTTTAAAACAGCAAATGCTATTCTTTCAAGGCTGCGAGATTTTATTCCTTTCGTCAGAACCCTCCAGAAGTCAATATTCTCCCTCCCCCCAGGGTCTGCTCTTGGCAGGAACGTGCTCCCACTATCATGAGTCCTGCCCCGTGCCTGGTCACCCACCCAAGCCACCTCCAAGTCTGCGACCATCTGCCCAGGGGCCCTTTCGTCCCAGGAATCCATTTCCAGCTACGTTGAGCTGCCTGCTTGGTGGTCCTCTCTCCCATTCCTTTTCCACGGGGTTTACCCTTGACCTTCTCATCTTCAGTGGGCAGGTGTGTGACCCCCAGGTCCCTGCTGACCTTGAGTGTTCCAGCACCCCACTGTGAACCCAGCTGTATGTCTTAGAAGGTCAAAGACATGCTGGCTCGAAGTGTAAGCTCTGGAGTCCCTGAAACCCAAGTTGCTTTCTGTCTCCAGCCAGGTACTACCCGAGTGGCCTTGTATCTCAGGTGTGTGTGTGTGTGTGTGTGTGAAAGGGGAAAGTAAGAGCATTTGCCCCAAAGAGTTGTGGGGCCAACGTGAGGGCAGCTGTGCAAAACACTCGGCAGCAGCTGGGCATGCTCTGAGCTTGATACGTGTCTGACGTTGTTGTCATCACAACAGAGGTCATGACCAAAGTCATGCTGAGCCAAGGTCATGGCTCGGCACCTCGGCCTCCTGTGTGTCGCATCCCCTGGGCCTCACCTCTGACCACAGCTACCTCCCAGGCTCCACGTACTTCGTCCTGGCATCCTCTTGTTTCAGGTGCATAACACACACTGTTCATTTTCTCCCCCGCGGCTTTGCCAGTGCCATGGGGACGACCCTCGAGGAAGCCTGCTTGGGATGCCCATGTGCACAGCCAAGAAGTGAGCGAGGCATCAGCCACCAGGGTTGGATGTCCGTGGAAAATTACCTCTCACTGTCGGTCCTCAAGGAGCAATTTTGAGAAAGGCTCTTTTGTGCACCAGAAGGTTCCAGTGGGATCAAGACAGTGCCCAATCCAACAATGCATCCTTGGGGCCAGCATTGTGGTGCAGCGGGAATCTCCTATCAGAATGCCAGTTTGAGTACCAGCTGCTCTGCCTCCATCCAGCTCCCTGCTAATGTGCCTGGAAAAACAGCAGAAGATGGCCCAAGTGCTTGGGCCCCTGCACCCACCTGGAAGACCCAGAGGAAGCTCCTGGTTCCTGGCTTTGGCTTGGCCCAGCCCTGGCCATTGTAGCCATTTGGAGAGTGAACTAGTGGATAGAAGACCTCTCTGTCCCTCTCTGTCCCCCTGCCTTTCAAATAAATAAATTGTGGGGAAAAAAAAAAAAAAAAAGGCCAGCATTGGTTCAAAGTGCTGCCTGCAATGCCGGCATCTCTTACAAGTGCTGATTCAAGTCCCAGCTGCTCCACTTCTAATCCAGCTCCCTGCTAATGGCCTGGTAAAAGCAGGGGAAGATGAGGAAGATGACCCCAGTGCTCCGGCCCCTGCCACCCATGTGGGAGGCCAGGATGAAGCTCCTGGCTCCTGGCTTCTGCATGACCCAGCCCTGGCTGTTGGGATTGAACCAGCAAATAGAAGATCTCTCTCTCTCTCTCTCTCTCTCTCTCTCTGTAACTCTGCCTTTCAAATAAATAAATCTTTAAAAACAAAAAAAGTCTCCTTGTCTTGGCTGTTCCTGCAGCCTGTCATACCTGTTCTCTGGGGTCACCTCCCAAATCAATTATTTGCGCAGAAGGCCTGGCATGGAGCTCTGTTTTCAGAGCTAGCCCAGGCGAAGGTGGGGTCAGGAGGCCTTGGGAAGCAGCCTGGGGAACAGAATTGCTCGGTGGGGAGGGCTGGGGAGGGCCATCAGCAGACAGCAACCAAGATGGGCCCTGCCAGGGGCTGCGTGGCGTGGGGGCACAGTGAAGCGCTGGCTTACACAATAGTTTTAGCACTTGAAAGGTTTGGGTTCACGGTAATTATGTGGGTTGTGGAGTTGGCTGGCTTCTGTTAACTGCATGAGAAGCTTTGCAAGGCACAAATGAGAGGCTCCGGATTCAGGGCCAGCTGGGAAACCTCCAGGGCTCCAGGGCTCTGTTGGCCTTTAAGGCACCCTCTGCTCCCACAGCCAAAGCTTTGCAGGCTCTGCTCAAGGTCAGGTCCAGGCTGTGATGGAAGGGAGGTGCAACACACAGGATTAAGGCTCAGGCGAGCTGGACAGCCCTGCAAGGAAACCCTATCTCTTTAACAGTCGGCTTGCGCTGCCCGCCTTCCCAGGGTGCACCTGTCTCTTCCAGGACCAGGGTGCACGCAGACCCCACCCTGGTGGTTCATCATAAAAGAGGCTGAGCCTGGGGGAGAGGCCTCTTCTTGCGACAGACTGCACTTGGAGGTACCACTCTGTGTCTCACAGGCAGCCCCCTGGCCCACTGTGCAGTTTCTCCTTGTGCACGGCCCACCCTGATGTGGGAATGTATTTATTCCCTGACCTGTTGCTCGTCTCCACTCAGAATTCTTTCCTCTGTGGGAGGCAAGAACCGGAGTGAAAACTGAGAGGCTCAAGTTCAGGGGTGCTGGCCGGGAAGGGGTCGGCCTTGGCCTTGGAGCCTTAAACCCGCTGGCTCCCTGGGTCCTCCAGGCCCGCAGAAGTGGCCTTGTTCCCCCCCGGTCAGAGAGCCTCACAGGGTGGCAGGTGCTTCATTGTACTTTGTTGTTGGTATCATGGTCAAACATAGGTACCGTAAAATTTACCACTGTAACTCATTAAATATGCACGTGGTTGTGCAGCCATTACCGCCGCCCGTCTGCCGAATTCTTTTCCTCTTCCCAGACAGAGGCTCTGTACCAAGAGGCAGTCGCTTCTCTTCCCGCCGCCGCCCTGCAGCCAGCACTCGATTTGCTACCCAGTACTTGGCTGGTTGTCTTTCAGCTCCAACCCTTCTCCCCTTGCCAGGCGGATTAGGACGATCCCTGCCATCCAAGACATGGCCTGTCTACAGAGGGCTGTGCCTTTGCCAGGAGCGGGGGAGCAACTGGGAAGTGGGGCTGAGACTCGTGGGTGGGAGACAGGAGATTGGATCGGGTATCCAGGCGTGGGGTCATGTCAAAGACACCTGGCGCTGGTCCTGCCTGCTGATGGCTCCTTGAAGCTAGAGCCCCAGGGGGTCCACGGCTGAGTGCTCCAACATAGTCAGAAGCAATGCGGCCTTCCGGGTGAAACAGGGCTAGTGGCACACAGAAATCTTGGATATGCTCATACTGGGTTAAATAAAATGGATGAGTCCAAGTAACGTCACCTGTTTATTTTCACGTTTTAAAATTGTGACGACTAGAACAATGTTAAAGTGCCGTTGTGGGCTCATTCTATTTCTATTGGACACTGTTGGGTTATGGGAAATATCTGCTTGATACCAGGATCTGTGCGCCATATTGAGGAGAGAGACTGCTCAGAGCAGGAAGCGAGTTAGTGCGACTTTGTTAGGGGAGGCTGCATTCAAGTGCATTGGGGCGGAGGCACCGGCGGAGACACCTCAGTGGTGTCTGCTCTGACAGCTGGAGTGGATGCTCCCCTGGTGGCATTCAGAGCAGCAGGAAACCTGATCACGGTACTGCCTCTAGGAGGCGCTGTTGAACAACACAGTGGCCTAAACATTGCTTGCTTGCTTGCTTGCTTTATTTATTTATTTATTTATTTATTTATTTATTTATTTGAAAGGCAGAGTTACAGAGAGAGAAGGAGAGACAGAGAGAGAGAGAGAGAGAGGTCTTCCATCCACTGGTTCACTCCCCAAACGGTCACATCTGCCGGGGCCGGCCCGAGCAGAAGCTAGGAGCCAGGAGCTTCTTCCGGGTCTCTCATATGGGTGAGGTGCAGGGGCCGAAGCTCTTGGACCACCTTCCATTGCCTTCCCAGGTGTGTTAGCGCCCACGTGGGGAGCCGGCGTTACCCACTACGTCACAGCGCCGGCTCCGGGATTGCACATTTTAAAGTGTCAAACACGTTTGCTTTTTCTTCATGTAAGTCACCTTCATAAGAAGCATCTGACCATACGATGTAGTCTGTTTCTTTAAATTAACTTATTAATTTATTTTTTTTAATTTGGGAGACAGATCTTTCATTCACTGGTTCGCTACACAAATGCCTGCATTAGCCAAGGCTGGGTCAGGGCTCCCGTGAGGGTGGCAGGGGCCCAATTACTCGAGCCATCACCACTGCCTCTCAGGATCCACACTGGCAGGAAACGGAGTCAGGAGCTAGAGCCTGGAACTGATGTGGGGCATCCCGAGAGCTTGGCTAAGTGCCTGCTCTTTGCGTCATTATATTTAAATAGATATACTCAGCTGTACAATAATCATAGGTCTCTGAAACATAAAAGGGAAAATAATTCAGTAAGTATAGAATATGGTCCAGAGAGACTCTCAAAAACCGAAATCCCATTCCCAGGACCCCCGCCGCTCCCGTCTCCTCTAAGATTTGCCGGCAGCTGTGGTGCTGGCCCCCCACCGGGTTCCCGGGATGGGCCCATTGCTCCCTGGCACCCACGCATGGGCTCCCAAGGCTCCTTGGGGTGGTGGCACCACACCTGCTGCCTCTCCCCAGCAGCACACCGTGGCTCACCTTGCCTTTCTGTTTCCAACGCGTGGAAGTTGGGGGTGGCGTAATGTATCTCCGGGGAGGGTCCAGTCCCTGGACAAAAGACAAAGTGTTACCGGGCCAACTCTCTGAGCCTCTGACCACACCGGGGTGGTGGCGCAGAGGCCCCTGCAGACAGTGCTCGATTCCAAGCGGGGCGCCCACGCCTCCCTTGTGCAATGGGAGTGGGAGAAGTCGCGAACGCGCTGGGCGCTCCGCCAGCGCTGGCTGCCATGACTCCCACAGCTGGCCCAGGCTTGGATCCCCATCTCCGTGTGGCAGCCATGACGCCAGCTGTGAGAGATGACCATGTGTTGTACCGCATGGTGCCTACAGCTAATGACAATGTGGGTTCTGGAACACTGCTGAGGGAACAGATTTTAAATGCTCTTACCACAAAACAAATGATAGGCATGTGAGTTAATACATGTTAGCCATTTCACAATGTATACACATTTCAAAACAGCACGTGACCCAGGACAAATTTTACATATGTATACAATTTTTATTTGTCAATTAAAATAAATAGGAGCCAGCGTTGTGGCACAGTAGGTTAAGCTACCACCTGCCATGCCAGCATCCCATATCAGAGCGCTGGTTCAAGTCCCAGCTGTTCCATTTCTGATCCAGCTTCCTGCTCATGTACTTAGAAAACCAGTGTAAGATAAGATAGCACAAGTCCTTGGTCCCCTGCCACCCATGTAGGAGACCTAGATGGAGTTACAGGCTCCTGGCTTTGGACTGGCCCTGGCCTGGACATTGCAGCCATTTGGGGAGTGAACCAGCAAACGGAAGATCTGTCAATCCCTGTGTGCGTGTGTGGTCACTCTGCCTTTCAAATAAATAAAAATAAATACTTTTTAAATAAAAAGCTATCATAAAAGACTGGGACACAATACAGATCATTCTGAACTGATATAAACAATCTCCAAGGGGCCCGGCATTTGGCCCAACAGCGAAGACTCCCTTATTCCACACCAGAGTGCCTAGGTTTGCGTTCCAGCTCCACTCCCGATTCCAGCTTCCTGCTAATGCTGACTCTCAGGGGTGGCTCAAGGAATTGAGTTCTTGCCACCCACGTGGGAGACCTGAACTGAGTTCCTGGCTCCCGGCTTCAGCCCCAATCCAGACCTAGCTGTTGAGGGCATTTGTGGAGTAAATCAGCAGATGGGAGCTCGCTCTCTCTCTCTCTCTCTCTCTTTCTCTCTCTCTCTCTCTTCCTCCTCTCTCTGTCTTTCCATTTGTCTGCATCTAAAAAAAGACCCAAGTGTCCAGCGGCACGTCTGAGACAAGCTGCCACTTGTCTCGGTGTGAGCACACACGTGGAGCACCTGTGGAAGCATTCAGGGGCAGATGTCAGGGGCCGGGAAGTCATCGTAACCTACTGCCCTTGTCCAGATGCTTGTACCACAAAACAAAATAGAGACAAGACCAGAAGCCAATCAAAACACCCATCAATGTTCTCTCACCTGCTGGAGGCTTACAGACATTTACGTATATGTCGGTTTCCTCGGGGGTAGTTTCCTGGTCCACGAGCGCATTCTCTCTCTCAGCTTTTCCTGCAGGAGTTGGGATACAATCAACAAATTAAACCCGACCCAGCCTCATTGTTCTCATCTCCTCTGCCAAGGAGCAGAACCCAAGCAAAGTGCTGAAGAAGGGCGGACCCGCTCCCACGGCCTGTGCCGGCGCCCAGCGGAGGACAGCCGTGGGCTGCCCAGGGATCGGCCTGCAGCACCTGCCCACAGCCCTGGCTCCACCAGGAGTGCCCTCTGCCTGTCAGAGGCTTCCAGAAATGGCCAGCTTATCTTTCCTTTGCTGAAGAGAACAGTCTGTCCAAAGCAAAGCTTTGTAATATCTTTAAGAGATAGTAAGCAACCCAGCAAGTTCTAGTCTAGCTCTGGCCAGCGATCAAGACATGGTTTTAAGATGTATAAGACGGGGGCCAGTGCTGTGGCACAGTAGGTTAATCCTCCGCCTGCAGTGCCAGCATCCCATATGGGCGCCGGTTCTAGTCCTGGCTGCTCCACTTCTGATCCAGCTCTCAGCTGTGGCCTGGGAAAGCAGTAGAAGGTGGCCCAAGTGCTTGGGCCCCTGCACCCACATGGGAGACCGGAGAAAGCTCCTGGCTGCTGGCTTCAGATTGGCGCAGCTCTGACTGTTGCAGCCAATTGGGGAGTGAACTAGCAGATGGAAGATCTCTCTCTCTGCTTCTCCTTCTCTCTCTATGTTAACTATGACTTTCAAATAAATAAATAAATCTTAAAAAAAAAAAAAAAAGATGTATAAGATGGAGGCCAGTGCTGTGGTGCAGTGGGTAAAGTCACTGTCTGTAGTGCCATCCTATATAGGTGCCAGTTCGAGTCCTAGCTGCTCCACTTCCAACCCAGCTCCCTGCTAATGCACCTGGGAGAGCAGCAAAGGATGGCCTCTGCACCCACATGGAGGAATCCAATGAAGCTCCTGCCTCCTGGCTTCAGGTCAGCCCAGCTCTGGCCGTTGCAGTCATCTGGGGAGTGAACCAGCGGATAGGAGGTATCTGTCTCTCCCTTTCTGTTTGTAACTCTGACTTTCAAATAAATCTAAAAGTGATGTATAAAATGTTCCCATTTATTTTCAAAATTTCTGTTAACAGAATCCCTGACGGCCAGCGCTGCGGTTCACTAGGCTAATCCTCCGCCTTGCGGCACCAGCACACGGGGTTCTAGTCCCGGTTGGGGCGCCGGATTCTGTCCCGGTTGCCCCTCTTCCAGGCCAGCTTTCTGCTTTGGCCCAGGAGTGCAGTGGAGGATGGCCCAAGTGCTTGGGCCCTGCACTCCATGGGAGACCAGGAGAAGTACCTGGCTCCTGCCATTGGATCAGCGCGGTGCACCGGCCGCAGCGCACTGGCCGCGGCGGCCATTGGAGGGTGAACTAACGGCAAAAGGAAGGCCTTTCTCTTCTGTCTTCTCTCGACTGTCCATTTCTGCCTGTCAATAAAACACAAAACAGAAAAAAAAGAATCCCTGACCTCTCTCAGTTACGACTTGAAAGATGGAGGGAGCCTGGGGACTAAGATGAATCATTTGAGACAGAGAGCCAGTTCTGCCAGTGCCTCCATGGCCCCATTCCTCGGGTCAGAAAGCTGAAGCTCAGAGAGTCACAGAAGCCTGTCTGATGCCCCTCCGCTTGCCTCTCAACTGTCTGCTGTGCAATCTTTTTTTTTTTTTTTTTTTAAGAAAAAAAAATTGATTGATTGATTGATTTGAAAGGCAGAGTTACAGAGAGGCAGAGGCAGAGAAAGACAGAGAGAGAGGTCTTCCATCCCTGGCTCACTCCCCAGATGGCTGCAATGGCTGGAGCTGTGCCGATCCGAACCCAGGAGCTAGAAGCTTTTTGCAGTCTCCCAGGCAGGTGCAGGGGCCCAAGGACTTGGGCCATCTTCTACTGCTTTCCCAGGCCACAGCAGAGAGTGGGATTGGAAATGGACCAGCCAGGACTTGAACCTGCGCCCATATGGGATGCCAGCACTGCAGATGCTTTACCTGCTACGCCACAGTGCCAGCCCCTGATATACGCGCCTTGGTAGTGCTTCACCCCGTGAGCCAAGTGAGAAGGCCGCCCTGGGAATTTAGCCAAAGGCGGTCATAAGACTTGATGCGTGACAGGTGTAATTGCTTTTATGGAAGCCATGAATGAGCTTTTTTTTTTTTTTTTAAGGTTTATTAATCTATTTGAAAGGCAGAGTTACAGAGGGAGAGAGAGATCAATCTTCTGTTTGCTGGTTCGCTCCTCAGAGGCTGCAACAGTCAGGGCTGGGCCAGGCTGAAACCAGGGCGCTGGAACTCCATCCAGGTCTCCCATGTGGGCGCAGGGGCCCAAGCGCTTGGGCCATCCTTCTGCTGTTTTCCCAGGTGCATTAGCAGGGAGCTGGGTCAGAAGATGAGCGGCTGGGACTTAGACCCTCATATGAGATGCCAGCGTCGCAGGCGGCAGTTTAACCGCTGCACCACAGTGCTGGCTCCTTACTAGGACTTTTGAGATGAGGACAACAAAATGCCAAGTCAGATGGCTCATTCTCAGTGCAGGACCCGTGGGACTGGCCAGGCTGCAACGTCAGCGGGCACAGGCTTTGTCTGGGGACGGGAACACCACGCTGGGTGGGAACGGCAGGCACAGTGCCTTCATTTACCCAGCCCTGCCTCGCCCTCCTCATCACCTCTCTTCCTTTTCTCCCCAGCCCATTTCTGATCCCCTGTCCCCTTCCTCCTTGCCCTGTCTCCAAAACCCATGGAAAAACAGTGGCAAGCGGGTGCCTGAAGAACTTACTTGCTTTGTGTTTTCGTCGAATCCAAAACAGCAGCATTAGGACCACAGCCAGTGACAGCAGCAGGAGTAACCCGGGCAGCAGCAGCCGCAGGCATAAGGGACAAGAGTCTTCTGGAAGCTTCACTGGAGGAAAGCCATGGGGTTATTGTCTTCAAGAAAGAATTCAGGCGTGAGACCGAGAACAGAGTGATAAGGCTTTATTGGGGGTAGGGCATCCGTGTCAGAACGGAAGGGACAGAGAGCGCCCAGTCGCTTGGACTGGGGGAGAGTGAGGTTACCTGGTTGAATGGAGAGAACACACCTGGGCAGGCCAGGAAGCGGCTCAGCAGAGAGGCAGAGGGCTGAGCCCGCAGTCTGTTTGGACTCCCTGGGTTTTTAAGGGAGTCTGTTTACCCACCGCCCCCTCTCCTCCAGGACAAAGGATGGAGAGTCCTAGAAGGGTTTGTTGGGTGAACATTAGCAAAATCCTCCCCAGATTTGTTGGTGGGAGCAGAGCAGAGGGGCTGCCCTTAGGGCTGCCTGTGAAGGTTTTATTGCCCTGTGTTACCAGGTCAGGGAGCCCATTTGGTGCTGAGGAGGGAGTTCTCCTGGGAGCTTTCCTTGGGGGCAGGGCTAAGACCACCTGGGAGGTTATCAGGGTCTGGGCAGGACTTAGAAGTGCAAGACGCTGGGCTTCTGGAGCTTCCGCAGAGGGTGCTGGGCTTCAGGCCTGTCTCTCTCTCTCTCTCCCTCTCTCTCTCTCTCTCTCTCTCTCTCACACACACACACACACACACACACACACACACACACACAGGCTAAATTTCTGACTTGCTACCTAACGGAAGAACAGGGTTCTCAGGTCACCACACAGCCTTCTTTACATTACCGTGTGCAGAGTTCCAGGGAGGGTGGCCATGGCTGTCTCCTGAGAGCCCGCATCCCTGGCCTGCCACAGACACCTGCTGCTCAGGGACTCTGCTTGTTGGTCAGGGGAGTTCGGAAATCATGACCAAGTCCACCTCCCGCCAGGTTCCCACAAGGGCCAGAAGCACAGCGTGGCATTTCACAGACGGAGCAGGGGGAGTGCACATTTCCCGGGGTCTAAGCGCCAGAAGGGCCTGGGTGTTTCCTGGCAAATCCCTTAGCCATGCTGGCCTGGTTTGTGGCTGACCCCAGGGAACAAGACAGCAGCCAGTGCCGAGGAAGTCAGAGGGTGGAGCCTGTCTCTGCCTTTGAAGATTTGGAGTGCAAGTTTGTTTTTCATGGCATTCACAATATTTATTTATTTACTTATTTTTAAATTAATCTTTTTAAATGATTTTATTTATTTATTATTTGTGAGGCAGAGTTACAGACAGAGAGAAGGAGAGACAGAGAGAAAGGTCTTCCATCTGCTGGTTCACTCCTCAAAAGGCCACAACGGCCCGAGCTGTGCCAATCCGAAGCCAGGAGCCAGGAGCTTCCTCCAGGTCTCCCATGTGGGTTCAGGGGCCCAAGCACTTGGGCTACCCTCCACTGCTTTCCCAGGCCACAGCAGAGAGCTGGGGCAGAAGAACAGCAGCTGGGACACAAACCGGTGTCCATATGGGATGCCAGTGCCTCGGGCAGAGGCTTAGTCCACTATGCCACAGAGCCGGCCCCACAATCTTTATTTTTGATAGCGAGTATACTTTTTTTTTTTTTTTTTGACAGGCAGAATGGACAGTGAGAGAGAGAGACAGAGAGAAAGGTCTTCCTTTGCCGTTGGTTCACCCTCCAATGGCCGCCGCGGCCGGCACGCTGCAGCCAGCGCACCGCGCTGATCCGATGGCAGGAGCCAGGTACCTATCCTGGTCTCCCATGGGGTGCAGGGCCCAAGCACTTGGGCCATCCTCCACTGCACTCCCTGGCCACAGCAGAGAGCTGGCCTGGAAGAGGGGCAACCGGGACAGAATCCGGCGCCCCGACCGGGACTAGAACCCGGTGTGCCGGCGCCGCAAGGCGGAGGATTAGCCTAGTGAGCCGAGTATACTTTTGTTGATGGTCCAGTACCAAGTATGAAGTTGGAGAGTTGCTTTTATTCTCAATCCAAAGATATCATTTTATTTTTATTTTATTTTTATCTTTCTAAAGATACCATTTTATCTAACTGTATTTTTATTTGTAAATTCATCTGCAGAGTTAACTTCCTGTTCCCCCCAAAAGCAGAAGTAACCCTGATAAGGATTGAGGAGAAATGCTCCACAGGAAATGTGTGGGTCTGATACACTCTGTGAAGTCATCCTCTCTTTTGTGAGGGAATCCGGCCATATCATGTTAAAATAGGATTCATTAACAAAATGTGCTATTGAGAGGAAGAATTGTTGAGTATCTGTCATATGCCAGGCACTGCTACTCGTGTGAGCCCCTCTGACCTTCCCATGGGTTTGCAAGCTGGGTAGTATCACGCCCATTCCAAAGGGGAACCGGTTGTGCTTCAGAGAGGTTAAGAAGCTTGTCCAAGGCCGGCGCCACGGCTCACTAGGCTAATCCTCCGCCTTGCGGCGCCGGCACACCAGGTTCTAGTCCCGGTCGGGGCGCCGGATTCTGTCCCGGTTGCCCCTCTTCCAGGCCAGCTCTCTGCTGTGGCCAGGGAGTGCAGTGGAGGATGGCCCAGGTGCTTGGGCCCTGAACCTCATGGGAGACCAGGAGAAGCACCTGGCTCCTGCCATCGGATCAGCGCGGTGCACCTGCCACGGCGGCCATTGGAGGGTGAACCAACGGCAAAGGAAGACCTTTCTCTCTGTCTCTCTCACTGTCCACTCTGCCTGTCAAAAAAATTTTAAAAAAATTAAAAAATATATTAAAAAAAAAGAAAAAAGAAAAAAAGAAGCTTGTCCAAGGTCACACAGCTAGTAAATGGCAAAATCAGGAACGACTCCAGAGTCTACATATTTTTTTTTTGGACAGGCAGAGTTAGACAGTGAGAGAGAGAGAGAGACAGAGAGAAAGGTCCTCCCTTTTCATTGGTTTACCCCCCCAAATGGCCGCCATGGCCGGCGCGCTGCACCCATCCGAAGCCAGGAGCCAGGCGCCTCCCCCAGGCCTCCCATGAAGGTGCAGGGCCCAAGCACCTGAGCCATCCTCCATTGCCTTCCCAGGCCACAGCAGAGAGCTGGACTGGAAGAGGAGCAACTGGGACAGAATACGGCGCCCCGACCGGGACTAGAACCCGGTGTGCCGGTGCCGCAGGTGGAGGATCAGCCAAGTGAGCTGCGGCGCCAGCCCAGAGTCTACGTATTTTAACAATAGCAATTTGGCACAGAAAGAATGAAAGATGAAAGATGCTAATCAAAGTGTAAATAAATTAAAAGAAAGCAATTCAGAATCTTCTTGCTCTAACCTTTCCTGGGTCAAGAATCCCCGTGACAGCATCCTTGGGGAACGGCACCTGGTGATGGGGGCCGCAGAGGGCGACCTTGTCTAATGCTAGCACTAAGAGGATGTTCTTCCTGCAGACTGGACATCTACTTCCTGTGATATTTGGGAAGGAGGTCAGACATTCAAGGGGAAGCAGGAGAGCAAGGACTTCTCTCTGAGATGAGGTGGTTGGAACCGGGCCAAAGGCTGGTATCTCAGGTGATGGGAAGATGGAGAACTCCCCGAGGGCGGGGGAGGCTCTCAGAGGGATGGCAATCAGGGGAGCAGCCGCAGCTCTCCCACACGTCAGTCCTCCTTTAGAAATCCCGAGGAGTCCTGTGAGCTCGTCCAGCGGCCACCTTTTCCATCAGATCTTCCCAGGGCATCCCCGCCTCGCACCTCTCCCCCTCTAGCTCTTGGCCTTATGCTCACTCCACTGTTGCCACCTCTTGTGACACGATCCCCTTGGATGTCTCAGAGACACCTCTTTGAAACTGAATTCTAGTTCATCTGCGAGTTAGTCTGTCATTCGAGAGACAGAGGAAGACAAACATCCCGTCCTCCGTGTTCCCCTTTGTAATAGGTGACGCTCAGCTGACCGAGTGAGACATCTGGAAGTCATTCTTGACTCTCCCCATCCTCACCATCTGTCGCTGATTCTCACCCGTCAGCGAGTCCTGCTGGCCCTTCCTCTGGATCCTTCCACGTCTGACCCCAGCCGCCATCCTCTTCCGGGTGACTGCAGGAGTCTCCCAGCCAGCCTCCAGCTGCTACTCTTACCCTGCACTGCCTTGGATGATCAACACCAAGGATGATAAATTCAGTCCTCATACCCCCTCACCCAGCCAATACTCATGGAAGAGAGTCCAAGCTCCTCCCACTGCTCCAGGACCTCCCTGCCTGGACCCCTGTCTCGTCTCTTCTTGGGGCAAACACCCCTGGTCTGAGCCTCAGCCATACTGGCCTCTTTGTAGGTCTCCACCCAGCCTGGTCTTTTTCTAAATTGGAGCCCTGAGCATGCTATGGGCTCCCCACATGCTAATTCCTCACCCTTTAGGGTTTGTTTGTTTGTTTGTTTGTTTGATTTGACAGGCAGAGTGGATAGTAAGAGAGACAGAGAAAGGTCTTCCTTTTGCCGTTGGTTCACCCTCCAATGGCCGCTGCGGCTGGCGCACTGCGCTGATCCGATGGCAGGAGCCAGGTACTTATCCTGGTCTCCCGTGGGGTGCAGGGTCCAAGCACTTGGGCCATCCTCCACTGCACTCCCTGGCCACAGCAGAGAGCTGGCCTGGAAGAGGGGCAACCGGGACAGAATCTGGCGCCCCAACCGGGACTAGAACCCGGTGTGCCAGCGCCGCAAGGTGGAGGATCAGCCAAGTGAGCCGCGGCGCTGGCCAGGGTTTATTTCAATAGCATCCCTCCGAAAGGCCTTCCCTAACTGCCCCACATAAGCAGGTCCCTCCTCCATCCCTTACTTCTCTCCATCACTGTGCCAGTTTCTTTTCTTTGGCAACAACCAGCACAGTTGGTGATTAATGGTTTTGGGTCCTTGCCACTAGACTGTAAGCTCCTCAAAGGCAGGAACCGGTGTGTATCCAGGGCGTGGCTCATCTGGGTTCTCATTAAACATTTGCTGAAAGGATCACTGATGAATGCATTTGTATAAGACCATTTCTTAGACTTCATTGAAATCTCACAAGCACAATTGCTTGCACAGAGGAGGCACTCAGTAGGGATCTATTGATCTGACTTTACTGAAGATAACATTATTTTAAAACCGGAAACAACCCGAAGGACAGGGTAATTGTTCCAGCAAATTGCAGGAAAGGATGCACAGAAAACAGGTGCATTCATGGACTTGCTGCCGGCCCAGCCAGGAGTCTAACAGAATATTATCCTCTAAGCTATTGCTGTCCCATTAGCCACCGCATTCCAGTGCATGTTTGCAGAAGGATTCTCCCTTCTTATTAATCCTTTTACAATTGTGGCTTCTACTCAGGTGAGTCTGAAGACTGTTGGTTCTAACCGAGAGCCCGTGACATCCTCTGAAATCTGCACGCATTTGCATCTAGAGCCTTGTCGGAGTTTCTCTGGGGAAAGCATCCATCACTACATTAGATTATGACATGGTTATAACCTACAAAGCAAAGACTCATTGACCGAGGGCAGCAGCATCTCGTGGAACTGTTTGTAATGATGGAAATGTCCTTTGTCTGTGTTTTCCACTGTGGCAGTCACCAGCCGCCTAGGGCTACTGAGTATTAGACATGTGACTACTGAGACTGTGACACTGAATTTTTAAGTTTCATCTGATTTTAATTACTGCGATTTTAAATGTAAGCAGTCACACGTGGCTAGGGCCACCGCACTGGATAGGGCAGACCCAGAGTCACTCGGCATTGATCAGGATGTCAGGGTCCTGTGCTGAGAAGATCCAGGTGCCTGTAGCAGCTGGAAGCCCACCCTTATTCTCCCAGGAGTCCATTATTAAGATCACCTTCACAGGCCGGCACAGTGGCTCACTTGGTTAATCCTCCACCTGTGGTGCCGGCATCCCATATGGGCACTGGGTTCTAGTCCCGGTTGCTCCTCTTCCAGTCCAGCTGTCTGCTGTGGCCCAGGAAGGCAGTGGAGGATGGCCTAAGTGCTTGGGCCCCTGCACCCGCATGGGAGACCAGGAGGAAGCATCTGGCTCCTGGCTTCAGATCGGTGTAGCTCCAGCCATAGCAGCCATTTGGGGGGTGAACCAACGGAAGGAAGACCTTTCTCTCTGTCTCTCTCCCTCACTGTCTAACTCTATCTGTCAAAAAAAAAAAAAAAATCACCTTCACAGATGTGTTCATTAATGCTAGGCTGTAAGAGGCTTGGGCTGAGAAGATGGGAAAGAAAAATACAGAAGTGAGAGATGTGATTGGGCAGGGAGAGAACGGGCAAACGGGGCATCGGATGCAAGGGGAGGAAGATGGGAAAGGCCAGGGGCTTAAAAGACCTCTTCACAGGGCCCAGCATGGATTCCAGGTTTCTTACTCTGGTCTTCAGAAAAAAAGGAATTTTCGCCTACCTGATGGGAATCATAGAATTAGAGAAGATCTCAACAATTTTATTGTTGAGATTATGATGTTTGCCCAAAGGTACATGACTACTATCTGAAATATACAAAAGTCTTTGAAAGAAGAAGTAAAATAATGATTAAAGATCTCAGGGATACTTTCTGGGTTCTTGAGTGAGAAGGAACATGGAGAGCCCTTTTACAGAACAAAAGGAATCCCATAAATCACCAGGCCCAAAGCAACAGGTAAGGCTCTACTCACTCATAACTGTGAACTTGAGCTCCTGACTGTATGTCCCATTCTTGGTACAGTTGAAAACACTTGTCTTGCATTTGTAGGGGCCCAAGTCCTTGGCTTCTGAGATGATTCTGTGAAAAACCATGCGGTCCACTTTTCCAGTCTTGTCACCCACAAGGGTCTTATTCAAAAACAGCGAATAGGTGATTTCCAGTGATTTGTTCTTGTGGGAACAAAACAGAGATACATTTTGACCCTTTGTGACCACTGTGGTTTCTGCTTTCAAAGTTGGAGAAGGGAATTCTGGAAAACAAAATGACACAAGAAAAAAATCCTTGTTAAAATCTGTCGATAACAATGCAGTGGCCATGTAGCCACATTCTTATGGGGTCACTACACCTGGTGAGCTTTTCTATGGGAAGTGTTTCTTGCCATACTGACCAGTGTGGGAGGAAGCTTAGTGTCTACAGAGGCTCTTCACAGAGACCCACGCATAGACTTGATCAAATTCTTCACTCCAATATGGGCTATGGGTGTCTCAAGTGACATCTTAATCACCCCTGCTGGCACTTATTGATGGCTTCATAGATGCTGAGGAATGAGGAGTGTCTCCTTCAGTCCTCAAACAGCCCTTCCAGGGAGGGGCTTTTATTACCCTACTTACAGAGGAGTCGCATCGCAAGCCCAGGCTGCCAGCTGGCAAAGGGTAGGGCCAGCATTGGGACCAAAGGTAGACTATCACCCAGTGCATATTTATTTTTTTTTAAAGATTTTATTTATTTATTTGAGAAGCAGAATTACAGACAGAGAGAGGGAGAGGCAGAGAGAGAGGTCTTCCATCCACTGGCTCACTCCCCAAATGGCTACAATGGCTGGAGCAGAGCTGATCCAAAGCCAGGAGCCAGGAGCTCTGGGTCTCCCACATGAGTACAGGGGCCCAAGGACTTGGGCCATCTTCCACTGCTTTCCCAGGCCATAGCAGAGAGCTGGATTGGAAGAGGAGCAGCCGGGACACAGACCGGCACCCGTATGGGATGCCGGCCCACAGATGCCACAGCACCGGCCCCACCCAGTGTGTACTCCTAGCATTGCTTGAATTATTTTAAAGTGATCATGCATTGGTTTTCTACTTAAAAACAACAGGGGTAGGCATTTGACGTATTGGTAAAGTCACCAATTAAGATAGGGGTATCCGTATCAGAGTGCCTGGGTTTGAGCACCAGTTCTGGCTCCCAATTCCAGCTTCCTGCGGACGCACACCTTGGGAGGTGGCCTGTGATGGCTCAAGCAGTGGGGTTCCTGCCACCCACAGGGGAGGCCTGGATGGAATTCTAGTCTCCTGGCTCTGGCCTGGCCCAGCCCCTGTTGACACTTGGAGGATGACGGGCAGATGGGAGCTCTGTTTCCTTCTCTCTCTCTTCTCTCTCCCCTCTCCCTCTCCCTCTCCTCATCTCAAATAAATAACCGTTTTAATACAACAGAAGAAGTTAGACAAATTTTATTCTAAAGACAATCTATGCTCCAACTGTTTCCCTAAAACCATTTTACGGTAAGCAGGAGGTGGATGAAAGGGCTTTGCTCTTTGGGTGTTCATCTAAAAACACAGAGCTAGCCACACGTCCGAAGCCGACCGTCCCACCATTTCAGGGAAGAAGTGCAAGTAAGAGAGAAGTAAATGCAACTTACTGTTTGATTTCATTATCCCACAGTCCAGTGCATATTTTTGAACTGAAAGAGAGAAAAGGAGCATGAGAAAGATCGTCTCCTACGTTTTTCGTTTGGAGATCCGGCTTTAAAACGATCAGTGGCTTACATGTCACGGACGAAAAAATGCCCCAGAAGAGCAGACTGTTCACCCGGCTCCGCATTCTCCCTGGTGAAATCGAGAGAGGAGGGCAGAGGAGGCTGGATGGCACAATCGAAAGTGGTGAGTCACCGAGCGAACTTCCCCCTCTGCAGAGTGAGGGGAATCAGAGGGTAGGGACCAGCTTTGCCTGATGGACCAGGGGTTCAACCAAGCTGCGCTCTTCTGTGAGTTTCGTAAGAAAGCAGTGCGGTAGGCGGCCTCTAACTCAGGCTGGCTGGCGATGTGGACGATGGGAAAAAGAAAATAACGGACTGTCCTGTGTTCCTGCGGAAACCCACCTGATCATCTCTCTCTCTCTGGACTCGGGAGTTTCACGGAAGTGTGGTTAAGTCTTTGGAGGCAAATGTCGACTGTCTCAAGTGCACACGCACCAATGCGGCGTCAGAAATGCCTGCTTTTGTTAAGTGCCAGTTCCTTGCCCGCTCCAGACTTGCCAGGGTTGAAATGTGGAACTCGGATTTCTTTTAATTTTTCAATTTTTAAAAATGTACTTCTTCAAGAGGCAGAGAAACAGTGCAAGAGAAAGAGAGAGAGAGAGAGAGAGAGAGAGTGAGCTCCCATTTGCTGGCCCTCCCCAGACACCAGGAAGAAGCCAAGACCCAGAAATTGTATTCAGGTCTTGAGTGGGTGCAGGAATCCAGCAGCTGGAGCCATCACAATTGCCTTCCACGGTTTGCATTAGCAGGAGGCTGGAGTCGGCAGCCGGAGCTGGGTGTCGCCCCCAGACACTATCACGTGGGATGTTAGTGTCTCCACTGTGAGGCCAGATGTCGCCTCCTAGGCCTCTGGGATTTCTCCACAAGGATGCCAAGCAAGCAATTGTTTTGCATGGTCAAGGTTGAGAAAGATTTCCAGAAGTCTGTGTTGTCTCAGTGATTCCTGAGTCGGGGAGCCACAGGAGTTGTGATTACAGCAAGCCCTCCCGTGCCAGGAGAACGCGTGGGCGAAACAGGGCTAAGATCCTGAGTGAATCTGGTCAGTCTTTGAAACTGAATGGGCAGAGCCACTCTGTGATGGAACAGAGGCTACCTGGAGGATACAAGAAGGGACCATGGGAACAGGTGGGCAGGACAGCTGGTCAACCCATACAGGAGGCAATGGATCAACCAAGAGAAGAAACAGGAAGCTGAGTGGGCAGGGCTGCGTTAAGTGAGGACTGAAGGCATCACCTAATCACTCCTCATGGACCTGGGCTCACCTGGGTTCATCCCCTCCTTCCAGATATGGGGGAAACCCATTCTCAGCTGTCACCGCCAACCCCTGAGTACTTAGGAAATTTTGCAACTGTTAGGAAACTGGCGCAGTTGTAGCCAGGTGGCCGCATGGCCCAGCTACCTGAGCCAGGCTCCACCCCCATCCTAATGGGATTCGCTGCTCCTGCTTCCCCACCCGCCCTCAGGCAAAATTGTAAAAGGGCCTGTTCCTGAACACGTGCTCTCTCTTACCCCTTCTCTCCTGCTCTCTCTCAGTTCCTCTCTCTAGCCTCCTCCTCTGGGCTCTTGGTTCTTCTCTCTTGGCTCTGCTCGCCTCTCTCCTCTCCTCTGCTCTCTCTTCTCTCCTTGCTAGCTCCTCTCCTCTCTGTTTCTCTCTTATAGTCTCTTTCTCTCTTTTTCCTTCGCCGCCCCTTCTCTCCGGTCTGTAGGGTGTTCCCCAATAAACCCTTTCCCTTACTCCGGTGTCCGGTGTGCTTTGCGACGGCTAACATTAAGATATAATAGCAACCTCAGCAGGCCCACTGCCCCGCAGAGGTGTGTGCACACTGTTGAGTCACCAGCAGTTCTGTTTCTAAAATCCTCTTGATCCTTGGGGCTGGCACTGTGGCTCACTTGGCTAATCCTCCACCTGTGGCGCCGGCATCCCATATGGGCGCCTGGTTCTAGTCCCAGTTGCTCCTCTTCCAGTCCAGCTCTCTGCTGTGGCCCGGGAAGGCAGTGGAGGATGGCCCAAGTGCTTGGGCCCTGTACCTGCATGGGAAACCGGGGGGAAGCACCTGGCTCCTGGCTTCGGATCGGCGCAGCTCTGGCTATGACAGCCATTTGGGGAGTGAACCAATGGAAGGAAGACCTTTATCTTTGTCTTTCTCTATCTCACTGTCTATAACTCTACCTGTCAAATAAAAAAAAAAATAAAGTGAACTTTAAAAAAAAAAAACCCTCTTGATCCATCACAGATATCTGCAAAAGTCTGGCCACAAGGATGTTCACTGAAATTTAGTTATAATATTAAAAGTGGGGGACAACTCTCCATGTTCAATAACAAGGGATGACAGCTTGGATGACGATCTTCCGTCCCCCGCACCTGCCTCCAGAGAGCTCTACTGCCCAGTGCTGGAAAGGAACGTTATATGACAAGGAATTCGGTCAAAGACACCCAGAAAAGCAAAAATGTTTTGAGAAGAGCTGCAGGGACTTCCTTATCTACATCACCAGGCTGGTGTCAAGGAGAAAGGGAAATTGTGAAAGATCACTTGATCACAGTGATCTACGCTCGGATATGACCTGGTGAATAACCACGATTTGTTGATTGCAAATTTTCCGCTGCTGTTTCCATGGTATTTCCCTTTAGACTGCCTTTTTGTGATTACAGCAGCTTTTGAGTATTTTAAAATGTTTTGCATGAGTGGACTATCAGCTACGTGTGCAAAACTCCAGGCTTCTTTTCTGTGTCTGAAACGTTCTCCCGTCGGCCTCCTGGCACCTTTCAGCGACCGCTGCTGGCTCGTTGGGGAGGAACAGACAGCAGCAATGCCATTCGGTGCACCTGCATTCTCAGATGAGCCCACAGAGACGGCTTCTCTCTCAGATACAGTACAAATCAGAGGCAGCTCTTTAGCGACAAAGGGAAATACATATTGGCAATGTCCGGTACAACCAAACTCCGGTGAAGGTTGTATTTTTCCAGCTGGCTGATGGGATCTAGACCAGTGTCAGTTTGAAGCCAAGAGGAAGATGCTGGAAGATCTCAGCTACAGGGACAGAAAGCAGAAAATGCGGGAATGACAGAATTCAAGCAAATAAACTCTTCCTTATAAAATCACGTAGGGAATCACCAATCTGATGGCTGGGCAGTGGATCTCAGTGGGCAGGAAGGGGTCTGAAGAGGTCATGAAGTCAGGGACAAGAGCTACTGTGGCAACGGACAAGTGAGTGCCGCTCGTCCAGTAACCATTTGGATAAGATCAAGGCGTCCAAAAACACATTATGACTGCTTCCATTTTATTTGGAAGAAAATCATTAGTGAAATGAAATAAAGCGTATCAGTGTGTATATACGTGTGTGTGTGTGTGTGACAGTACTTTTTAAAAATTCATGGAAAATGAAATGAAAAAGTAATGTGCATTCCCCAGGAATTTTTTGAAGAAGCTGAGTATTCAAGTACGTATATATATTTTTTCTTTTTTTTTTTTTTAATAAGAATGCCTTGGTACAGATGGTTGGTTACACAGAAGCACTACTTCAGAACAGGAAGCTATAATATTGATTTACAGTTTAAAAAGGGGGGTATTTATTTTCGCTTTGGAAAGAATGTGATCATGTGTGCTATTGAAGTACAGCATATGTATTTTTTATACCTGAGATACATTATTAGAGTTACTTCTTTTTAAAAATGCATTCTTTGGGGCCAGTGCTGTGGTGTAGCAGATAAAGTCACTGCCTGTGGCGCCAGCATCCCATAATGGGTACTGGTTCAAATCCCAGCTGCTCCACTTCTGATCCTGTTCCCTGCTAACATGCCTGGGAAAGCAGCAGAGGAGGGCCCAAGTGCTTGGGCCCCTGCACTGATGTTGAAGATCCAGAGGAAGCTCCTGGCTTTGGCATGGCCCAACCTCAGCTGTTGCAGACATTTGGGGAGTGAACCAAAGGAAAGAAGATTCCCTGTCTTTCCTCCTCTCTCTCTAACTCTGCCTTTCAAATAAATAAATAAACCTTTAAAAATAAATAATTAAATAAAAATATGCTATTTATTTGAGAAGCAGAGAGAGATATCTCCCATCCATGGGTTCACTCCCCAGTGCCTAGCCCAGGCCAAAGCCTGGAGCTGGAAACTCACTCTGGGTCTCCTAGGGGTTGGCAGAACTTAACCACTTGAGTCACCATAGCCGCCTCCCCAGGTCACACTGGCAGGAAGCTGGACTCAGAAACAGAGCCAGGTCTCAAAGCCCAGCACTGCAACGTGGGACGTGGGCGGCGTAACTGTGGGCCAAGGCTCACCCCGCTAAGACTGCTTCTTAGTGTTCCCGAACACTGGCACTCCCATGACGCAAGCTCAAAACTTGTCCTAACTGAAGCACACTAGGACAACCTGGGGCTGCCCCAAAGCGGGCAATAATATCCGCCGTATTACTGCTTGTGTACACACGAGACACTGCTTTGAAAGAATCAGTGAGCCATCATTTATAACTACTGTTTTCTACGTTCAACATTTTTAACGAACTTTTAAATGCCACTGTAGGAAACCATTTCGTGATGCGGTAAGAGGAACAAAGCACAGTCCATGAAACAGAAAGCTGGGTAGAAACAGTTGTAATCGGATATTTTCTTGGTGTGTGGGCAGCGGCCGTGTGAGCGTCGTGGGGTATTGCAATGGTCTCTGTTTCATTTTGAGTTAGCCTTATCTACATTATTCTCCTCGTTATAGAGAAGGGGATCAGTCCTGACCTTGGCAGTTCCCCTTAGACCTCAGCAGAAGAGGAAGAGCCTGCCCGGCTGTCCAGCTGACAAAGCAATGGCAAGAGGGCCGGGAGTCTGCAGAAGCTGGGGCTGGAGCCCACTGCACTTGGGAGAAGGGCGCAGTAATTGCATGGGGGAGGGGAAGAGAGGCCTCTGCTCCCAGGACCTGGCTGAGCCCAGCCCCGCCCCCGGCAGCCCAGAGCTTGCAGACAACAGCCCAGTGAATTACAGAAATGGAAACACCACACTAACCAAAAGAAGTATCCATGAGAAATGTCTTCAGTCCTCCCTCCTCTACAGTTCCCACATTTTTTTTTAAAGGTTTATTTATTTATTTGAAAGGCAGAGAGAGAGAACTTCAGTTTGCTCGTTTACTCCCCAAATGGCTGCAACAGCCAAGGCTGGGCCAAGCTGAAGCTGGTGGCCTGGAGCTCCATCCGGGTCTCCCACGTGGGCAGCAGGGGACCAAGAATCCGGGGCATCTTCTGCA